AGATGGGAGACGTGTTCCCCAGACCATTTCCCGCTAGCCCCTCAACACTGAGGCTACTATTGGTGGCCACTAACAGCCAGGCTCGTCGTGTTCTTCCATTGTGTCATAGAGTTACAGGGGGGTTGAAATATTTCCTTTACTCATCTCCGTCTGAACTGGAGTATTGCAAGATGCATTGAGAGGGCACTATGTTGCAAGCAAGAAACGCGGAGGGCAAATTTCTTTGTAGATATGAAACACACTCCTGGGCGGGCAAACCAATTGTACGGGGGCCAAGTGACATGGCTGAAGACAACCTTGAGAAATAATCACATCAAGAACCATGGGCCGAACTAGAAATAAAATTACTAGAATTTCAACAGCTTTTACATCTGACTGAAAATAAACGACGATGCTGTAAAATTCAGTAAGCAGGAGACAATTTCCTGGGCACCAAAGCTTTTAAGAGATAGCAAATTTACAAAAGAGGGCTGGCAGAAATCTCGAGTCACGAACAAATATAAACACGTACGATGAGAAATATTGCTACGAGTGCACTGAATGTTCGAGACCACGACCAACTTCGTAGGCGTGGCTCTGTGCTTAGGGTTCAGTGCTCTGTGGTTGCCATCTTAAAATTCTGATTCGTTTCATCTTTGAACTTGTGATGTGGGAATGAAGCTTGAGATGGGCCAATGGCATGTGCATCAGGTTTGGCCCCTGATGAGGCGTTTGCTGTCTGTGACACCCCAGAAGCCAGGTAATCCGCTATGTCTCCTGTAGTACAGGGCTGCTATTTTCAAACAATTATTCCGATTCTCTGAATGATCGTTAACATGTAAATGTGAGTCATAAAGCACTGACATGAATCCTTGATGACTGCATTTTCAGCTATTGATTCATGCTTTGGACCATCTGATCATAAACCTGCTCTCCTTTTTCTGCCGTAACTGGTAACCTGGTCCAGTGAGTCTCAACCCGGTAGCCCCTGAGAATGTTTAAAGTCATTGTGTTGACTTTACTGCTTATTGACTTTTTATTATTTAAGAGTTAAAAAAAAAACAGCAACTAATTGAACACTCCGTGAAATATTTTTCCTCTTACTAAGAAAATATGTTGGTGGCTGGCTAGGGACTTGTATTCAGGGGAATCCTGGAGTGGCTGAGCTCTGTTTGGCTGTGTATTCCGTGAGCTATATTTGCACTGTGAGGCTTCTTGGTTTCACTAGAAGAGAAAGCTGTGTTGCCTTCCCCTTGCGAGTTGGAAGCGTTCCTCATATTAATTAAACAGGGGAAGAAATTAGAGAAGTCTAAGAAGTCTAAATAAAATCTTGATGATTCATTGTTATGGGAGAGAATATTAACCTGATTTATCGAATCTCCCTCCTGCCCCTTTTAATGAAAATAATTTTATTGCTTTCGATGACAAAGAACACTTCTAACCAACTGCTAAACTTAGAAAAAAAGTTGGTGCTGCCACACAGAAGGCCTACTGGGACTAGTTAAGGAATAAAAAGGTTTATTTATAATTAAGATTGTTCCTCAGCGGCAAATTAACTTGTATGTCCTTAACCAAATTTCTCTATGTGTGTACGTGTGCGTGCATGGGTGTGCAGGTTAAACAGCTACTATATCTGCTCGCGGTATTGATTTGCAAAGGGAACCCTCTTCCTCAGTAAACCAAGGCAAAGTCCAGCCCAGTGAAGGAGCACATATTCTGAAGTATTGGTGTCAGATCATCGAGTACGTCCCATAATTAAACACCCCACTTCCCCGCCTGGGTTTTGAACCAACTGAGAAATAAGGTAAAGAAGGAGGTAAGTGGAGAATAAAGTATTACCCTTATTAGTGGCAAAAGCAAGGACTTTGAAATGCGGCTTGGGGATGAGAGCCAAATGGACCCCTCAGTAGCAAACCTCTGCGGTTGGCAGACCTCTGCATTCCAGGCACTGATGGTTCTAGATGGGGCCGGTGTCTCCATATGGGAAGCATAACTTGATGCTGAAGTTATCAAGGAACGTGGACGTTCTGGAAAGTGGCAACGCAGGTCTGTTGAGATATGTAGAGAGGAGAAAGGGGGATGTGAGGAGATAGTAGATAGAGCACAGGATTTAAAGCCAGATGAACCAACGTTAGGATTCTAGGTCTATCACTTGCTGATGAACTGGGTTTACCCTCTCGGGGCATCTGTTTCCTCCTTTCAAAAAGTAATATCTACTTTGTGAAGATTGGCCTGGTACATACACATGACGAGTAAGGACTAAAGAAGGCCTTCAAGAAGCTGTAGTGATTATTACAGGATTGGAGGGTGTGATAAAATAGATATGTTATTCAGATTTGAAATGACAAGGGTCTACTGGGGAAAAGTGACTTAATGAATAAATGGGAAGAAGAAATGAATTCACGTCCTTTTATTTCTGTATTTGAACAACTTCACAGGTGTTATCACCAATAAGAGGATCTTTTGTCAGCTATTAAGAATATCTCTGTGCAGGGGCGCCTGGGTGGCTCAGTTGGTTAAGCGTGCAACTTTGGCTCAGGTCATGATCTCGCGGTTCATGGGTCCAAGCCCTGCATCGGGCTGTGTGCTAATGGCTCAGAGCCCAGAGCCTGCTTCAGATTCTGTGTCTCCCTCTCTCTCTGCCCCTCCCCTGCTTGTTCTCTGTCTCTCTCTCTCTCTCAAAAATAAATCAACATTAAAAAAATTAAAAAAAAGAATATCTTTGTGCAGAGCTGGGGTGGGGGGAAGAATTTCAGACCTTTCCTTAGGGAGGCATCACCATTATTATTATTTTTTAAATGTTCATTTATTTTTGAGAGAAAGAGAGAGTACGGGTGGGGGGGGGGGTTGCAGGCAGAGAGTGCGGCAGAGGATCTGAAACAGGCTCTATGCTGATAGCCGTGACCTCCATGCAGGGCTCATACTCATGAGCTGGGGGATCATGGCCTGATCTGAAGTTGGATGCTCAATGGACTGAGCTACCCAGGTGCTTAGGGAGGCATCATTATTAACATGAATTTGGCCTCCGTGGGACCACTAAGACTAGTATGAATAATGTATATATGTTCTTTTCCTAGGTTTGTTTGTTCAGTGTCCTGTCCATAAGTTATGTACTTGAATTAACCAGAACTGTGTTTTACACCTTCCACGCAGAAGTAGAAGACTGTTAGACCAAAACCTTTTGCTTCATTGACTCTATGATATGCTTTAGTGACAGTGTATGTTGGAACTCAGTTTCCATCTGCTACTTATAACAGAGATCTCTGTTTAGCATCCATATAAATCAGAGGTCTCATTAGGATAGCCCGATGTGTGGTGGTATATTCCAGTTTTACATCTGGGTGTACTTGAGCAGGAAACTTCCAGGGTAATTATGGGGTCTGCAGTGTCCTCGGTAAATTGATTTATGACAACTGCATAGACAAGATTAAGAGTAGCATGAGAGGGGCACCTGGGTGGCTCAATCGGTTGGGAGGCCAACTACAGCTCAGGTCATGATCTCGCGGTCTGTGAATTCAAGCCTCGCATCGAGCTCTGTGCTGACAGCTCAGAGCCTGGAGCCTGCTTCGGATTCTGTGTCTCCCTCTCTCTCTGCCCCTCCCCTGCTCATGCTCTGTCTGTCTGTCTCTCTCTCCCAAAAATAATAAACATTAACAAAAATTAAAAAAAAAGAATAGCATGAGAAATATTTAAGGGATTTTTTAATGGAAGGGAAGCACACAAATATTTATAAATAAAATGTCAGAGAAGTTAACAGTTTTAAAAAATTCTTATACTTTTGAAAAAACCATCCGGAACATTTAGAGACATCGATTTCTGTAGTTCCCTTCTCTCTTCCAAAATGGATTTAACTTTCTGCCATCCGTCAGAAATGCCAATATTCTGCCCAGAAAAGGGGCCAACTAGTTTATATTATTCCCTGAAGGACCCAGTTATTTCTGATCATTCAGAAATAAAAGTAGAAAAAGTGTTTTAAAGAAATGTCTCAAATTAACCTCAGACCGGCGTTTTGCCATGATGGCTGAGCTCATGATGGGTGGAACTCAAATTTCTGTGAAAACACAGGAATTCAGGGTCTGGAGATTTCAGTGAAGTATAATGATACCCTCTACTTCCAAATGATGCTGGGAGACTCCCAGATAATCTTGCCTCAGCAGGCCAAGACCTTGGTCACTGGTTTTATCAATTGCTCCCTTATCTGCTGGCTTAAGGACTCAGCGAAACTCACCAAAACAGCACGGTAGAACAAGGCTTGAGCCATTCTATGGAGTTAAATCTACTCACATGATATTCTCTATGGCTTGGAATGGGAATGAATGTATGAGATACTCTCTTTACACCTTGTACTATGTGTGGAGAATATACATGTACATGCTTACCTCGTTTTTAAATTTTTTATTATAAAAAATTTCAACTATATATAAAAGTAAGGAGAGTAATCTTCTCCTCCAAACCCACCAGGTGCCTGTCACCAAGCTTCACCAATGATGAACAACCTTGTTTCACTTACACTGTACTTATCTACTCCCCCTTCACCCCATCTGGATTATTTTAAAACAAATATCGGACTTCACATAATTTTACCCACAAAATGTATCTCCAAAAGACATTAATATGTAACCCATTGCCATTATCATGCTAACAAAATTCACAGCGACTTCTTAGTGTTATCTGTCAGCATTCATGTTTTCCCTCGTGTCCTTATATGTGTGTGTGTATATTTTATTTATTTATTAAATTTTTTAACATGTTTATTTAGAGAGAGAGAAAAAGAGACAGAGGGAGAGAGAGAGAATCCCAAGCAGGCTCCATACTGTCAGCACAGAGCCCGACACAGGGCTCAGTCTCAGAAAACGTGAGATCATGACTTGAGCAGAGATCAAAAGTCAGATGCTTAACCGACCGAGGCACCCAGGCACCCCAAGAGCTCCGTTATTTAGTTTTAATCCGCTTTTAGCTTTATTGGGGTATGATGAACTGGGAATTGTATCATACAATAAACTGCACATATTTTTTGACAGGTGATTATGGCTATGAAATCATCACCACAATCAAGATCCTGAACATATCCATCAACCGCTCGCTAAAGTTGACAAATACCTCCCTGCATACCCTCTACCACTATCCCAGGAAAGCCGCTGATCTGCTTTCTGTCTCATTAGAGGAGCTGGCATTCTCCACAATTTTATACGAATGAAATCAAACAGTGTGTATTCTTTTTCTTTTATTGAAATAAAATTCACATAACGCAAAACAAACCATTTTAAGGCGGACAATTCAATGTCATTTAGTACATTTACAGTGTTATGCAGCCAAAAGTTTGATCTAGTTCTAAAACATTTGTATCCCCCTCCCCCCACCCCCCACCCCCCAAAAAACACCTCTGCATTTCCCCCTTTCCCTCCCTTTTCCACCCGTGGCAACCATGAACCTGCTTTCTATCGCTATGGATTTACCTCTTCTTAGTATTTCATATCAAATGAACCATACACTATGTGGCCTTTTGCCTGTCTGCTTCTTTCACTTAGCACAATGTTTTTGAGGCATATCCATGTGGCAGCATGTACGAATGAACACTACATTTCCATTTATGTCTGAATAATGTTCCACTGGATGGGTATGGTTTGTTCATTCATATGTTAACGTACCCTTGGATTGCTTCCACTTTTTGGCTCTTCTGAAGAGTGCTGCTATGAAGATTCATGGATAAGAGTTTGTTTCAATCCCCGTTTTCAATATTTTCGGGCATCTATTTAGGAGTAGAATTGCTGGGTCGTGTTGTAATTCTGTGCTCAACTGTTTTCCATAGAAGCTGCATCATTTTTTCCTTCCCATCAGCAATATAGGGGTCTTCTAGTTTCTCCACATCCTCTACAACACCTGTTATTTTCCACTAAAAAGAAAAATTACAGCCATCCTTATGGGGAGAGTTGGTATTTCACGTGGCCTTGATTTACATTTCCTTAATGAGTAATGGTGTTGGGCAACTTTTCATGCATTGTTGACCATTTGTATATTTTCAGAAAAATGTCTGTTCGTGTCCTTTGCCCATTTTCTAACTGGGTTGTGTGTCTTTCTGTTGTTGAGTTGTAGTGTTCTATATATATTCTAGATTCTAGACCGTTATCAGATACAAGGCTTGCAAATATTTTCTTTTATTCTGTTGGTTGTCTTTTCCCTTCCTTAGTAGTGTTCTTTGATGTGCAAAAGTTTTAAATCTGGATCAAGTATAATGTATCTATTTTTTTCTTTTAGTGCTTGGTGCTTTGGTGCTTTTCATATCTAAGAATCCATTGCCTAGTCCAAGGTCATGAAGCTTTACACCTGTTTTCTTCTAAGAATGTTAGAGTTTTATCTCTTACATTTATGTCTTTGGTCCATTTTGAGTTTAGTTTGGTATGTGGAGTGAGGTAGGGGTTTGACTTCATTCTTTTACATATGACTGTCCAGTTATCCCATTACGAGTTGTTGAAAAGACTGTCCATTCCCCACTGAATGCTATTGGCACCTTTGACAAAAATAAATTGAACATAGATGCATGGGTTTATTTCTGGACTGTCAATGCTATTCTATTAATCTATCTGTCTGTCCTTATGCCAATACCAGGCTGTTTTGATTACTATGTCTTTGTAGTAAATTTGAAGTCAGGAAGTGTGAATCCTCAAGCTTCGTTTTTCTTTTCCAAGCTTGTTGCGGTTATTTGGGGTCACTTGCAATGCCAAATGACTTTTAGTGTCATTTTTTTTTTTCATTTCTACAAATTTTTTTTTTTTTGCTGGAATTTTGATAGGGTGGCATTGAATCTGCGTACTCTGTCTTGTTTCATTCACTTGGCATAATTATATTGAGATTGTAAAAACGGTTCTTATTGTTGAGTGGTATATCTATTATATAGATATACCACAATTTGTTTACCTATTCATCTCTTCGTGGCTATTCGGTTTGTTTCTAGTGTTTGGCCATTAAAAATGAAGCTGTTGTGAGCATTTGTTTACAAGTCTTTGTGTAGACATAGGCTTTTACTTTTGGGGGGTAAATACCTATGAGTGGAATGGCTGAATCTTATGGTAGGTTTATGTTTAAACTGTTTATCAAAGGGGTTGTAGCATTTTATATTCCCACCAGAAGTTGCTTCATATCCTTGCAACCACTCTGTATGTGCAGTAATTTTAAGTTGACATGTTCTAAATGACAACATATTGTGGCTTTAATTTGCATTTCCCTAAAAATTAATGATGTTAAGCACCTTTTCATATGCTTATCACCTGTATATCCTCTTTGAAAGGACTATTCAAATCTTCCACACATTAAAAAAAATTTTTTTATAGTTACATTTTGAGAGTTTTTTGTATATTCTGAACATGGCTTTTATCAGCTCTGTGATTTGCAAATACATTCTCCCACTCCGTGGCTTATTTTTACTTTTTAACAGGCTCTTTTGAAGAGTAGAGGTTCTGAATTTGTATGGGGTCCCATTTTTTAAATCATGCTTTTGATATATCTAAGAAATCTCTGCCTAGCTCAAGATTACAAATGCTTTCTCCTATCTTTTAGAAGGTTTATATTTTCAGGTTTTACACTGAGGTCTGTGATTCATTTTTAGTTCATTTTTCTTTAGGAATGAAGTGCAGACTGAAGTTCTTTTTCTCTTTTTGCATATAAATATCCAATTGTTAATGCATCCTTTGTTGAAAAGACTATTGTTTCTCCAATATCTTTGTACCTTTGTTGGAAACCAATTATCCATTTAAGTATGAAGTTAGCCTGCATTTTTTACTATGTTTCACTGGTCTAATTGTCTATCTTTATGCTAATATTAGATGTGCTGCGCCTTTTTGGTAAGGATTTAAATTTGATCGTGATAGTGTTTCAACTATGTTTTTCTTTTTCAAAGTTGTTTTGGCTTTTTTAGGTTGATTGTTTAATAAATTTCCTGTGAGTTGGTCCTATACCATACATATTTTAGAGTCAGCTTGCCATTTTCTTTATAAAAATCGTCTTGATAAATTTCTCCATTTACTTGCATCTTTTCTAAATTCTTTCAGTAGCGCTTTGGGGTTTTCAGTACAGAAATCTTTTATATGTTTTGTTAAACATCTTGAAGTGTTTCATATATACTCATGCTATAAAAATGGTAGTTTAAAAAATATTTTCAATTTCTGATTTTTTGTTGCCAGTATGGGGAAATGCAACTGATTTCTTTATGTTGACCCTGTATCCTGCAAATGTATGAAACTCACTCGTTAGTTTTAGACACTTTTTTTTGTCAATTTCATAAGATTTTATTCGTAGAGAATCATGTCATCTATAAATGTAGTTTTATGTTTTCCTTTCCAGTCTTGATGTCATTTATGTGTTTGTGTATGTACGAATTTTTTAATTTATTTATGGAGCCTTATTGCATAGGTTATAAATAGAAGTGATGAGAGGGGCACCTGGGTGGCTCAGTTGGTTAAGCCTCCGACTTCAGCTCAGGTCCTGATATCACGATTCGTGGGTTCGAGCCCCGTGTCAGGCTCTGTGCTGACAGCTTGGAGCCTGAAGCTAGCTTCGGATTCTTTGTGTCCCTCTCTCTCTGCCCCTTCCCCACTCACACTCTGTCTTTGTCTCTGAAAACCAAAAAAAAAAAAAAAAAAAAAAAAAAGAGATGTGATGAGAGTAGGTACACTTGCCTTATTTCAGATGTCAGGCTAAAGCATTCAGTCTTAGGGGGCCTGTCCCATGTATTGTAGAATGACTAGTACCTCATAAGATGCCCGTAGTTCCCAACTGCATTATAGCAACCAAAAACGTATCTAGAAATGGCCAAATGTCCCTTGCTGGGCAAAACAGGTCCTGATTGAGAACCACTATATAGGGCTCTTTTGGCTATTGATTTGTTTATTCTGAAGTGAGCTTATTCAAGTTTGCATCATTCAAAGTTTTTTTTTTTTTCATTTTCATCTAAGTTGTTGGATTTATCGTTATATAATTATCCATATTATTTTCTTATCATCCTTTTGAAAGCTTTATGATTCGTGTTTGTGTCAGCCCTTTCATTCCAGAGATTGGTAATTTAACTACTCCGGGTGGAGTGCTCGTTCTCAACGGGTAGAAATGCTGCCACAGATCCCACAACCTGGCTACTAGAAGCGTTCACTGCTGTTGGTCATTATTTCCAGGCTACAGCTAGAAAAATGTGTTTCCAAAGATAAAATAAATGATGAACTCATTCTCATACTTCAATTTAAATTTAGAAATAGAAGTTTTTAACTTAATTTCATCAGTCTGACATCTGTATCTCTTTTCTCCATGTCAAGAATCCGGATTCTCAAAGGCAACAAAAAATAGTTGTAGGTTTATTCCACAATATATGCAAAAGAATCTTGGGATGCTGATCTCACTATTATCAACAATATACCTGCAGAAAAACCGGTTAAGATTAAAAAAAAATTTTTTTTTTTGTGCCCAGAGTATCACAGCAGGGTCCAACACTTAAATTGCTACATTTCAGTGCCGAATGGACTAGCTCTTTGCATCGTTGTGTCCTCAACTCAGCACACATTTTGGCACATTTATTTTATTCTGTTTTCAATTTCCAGGAATTACTTATTGAATTTAATTTGGTTTCACAATGATATAAAATGTTACTATGATTTCAGTATCAAATCAATAAATATTCTGAGAAATGTGGCTTTTATCTTTATCCCCTACATCCTCCTTCTCCCTTTGGTAATATTAACAATTTTAAGTTACTGTTCCAGCAGTGAATGAATATATATACATATATATATGTGTGTGTGTGTGTGTGTATGTATATATTCCCCATTCTTACACTCATGGTAGACACATACTACCCACACTTTTTTCCACTTTGCATATTTCACTTTCTACTATATGTGTTACATCCTAGAATTAATTCATGCACTATATGGAGATATACTTCATTCCTTTTGATGGTTTCGGATTACTTCATTGTTTTGATTTATCATAATTTTTCAGCCAGTCCCCTATTGACGCACATTTGGGATTGTGAGTCTTCTGTTACTAAATCTGTGCTCCAATGAATATGCTTGTCCATGCATCGTTATATATATTTTGCCAGTGTATATTTGGGATAGATTCCAGAAGTTGTACCCCAGGATCCGAGAGTAAATTTATACCCAGTTTCACTTGATGTTAATCAAATTCCTCTCCACAGGTATCACAGTATTTTTAAATTCTCTTAACAATGTATGACTGGGCCTGTTTTCCCACATCTTTCTTCCGAAAATAAAAATTTGCAGTCAAACTTTTGGATATTCACCAATTTTATTTATCTCCGTGAAATTTTAACAGGCCTGTTTCGAGTAAGGCATCAGCCAGGGTCTAATTTAAAAATCAGAACCGTTAGGAAATA